AACATGGGAAATCCTGCCCTAGCAGAGGGATGGACTAGAGGCTCCACAAGGCCTTTTCCTTAACGTCCACGATTCTGCTTTGTGTTGTCAGAACTAAAGAGGGTCACTGCCTGCTGTGACACCCTTGCCACAGTCCAGTGGGGAGTTGATGGTCACTGCAGAGAAGATGTAGCAGGAAATCTGGAATTGAAACTTCGGATTTTTTAAGACCGATTTATCCTTTTTCTGAGGATAGAAAAGTAAAGAATAAATCATTAAAGTTCCTTCTTAAAGCAAATGTGACTATTGACTCAGGACCAAATCAATGCCTTGCTTAAACACGGTACTGGAAATACAAGCTTTACGGGTGGTCATAAGATCACAGTAATTAGGAAAGGAAAAGACATATTAGGTCATCTGGTCCATCCTGCTGCTAGGTCACAGTGCCCTGACAGAGGGTGTCTAAAATACTAAACTGATTTAAAATTTTTATTAAAGCTAATGTTAAAATTATCTAATACACAGGTTAAGGAAAGAGTGCCTATACATCTGGGCATAATGCTTAAATTATCCAAAAGTACAAAGTTTTTGGTTTAAAAGTCATAAAATACATATCGTATATAACCTGCAATATCCCGAATTAAGGTTAATAAATTTAACAATACAGATAAAATATTAGCATCCAAATATTCAGGTACATCACTAAAAGTTATGTTAAGAGTAGCTTGTGGAAAGCAAACACAGCAATGAGTGTATAGTGTCCCTTAATAATTGAGAATTTAGGATAGGTTGACCCTCAGTAAATACAATCCATCAGAAAAGTATTTGTTACTTTTCCAACTTCCCTTCTCAGTGGCACTCCAACTCATCTCTCCTGGTATTGCCAATGTCCGGTGATGTGTTCTAAATAGATGTCCCTCTCCTGAAGGATGCCATCCGCTGCCAGTATGTGGAAAACTTGAAACAGAAGCTGGACGAGGGCAGGCCCTTCAAAGTGACGTGCAAGTGGGATGCCAGCAACCACTACCTCCCAAGGGACAGTTTCACCCGATTTGCTGACTGGAGATTCATCCACAGGGCCTGGCTCAACTGCGTCCAGCTACATGGAGCCATCCACCATGGGAATCGGGACAAGTGATGCAAAAAGTACGGCTATGCCAATGAGATGTTACCTCATGTCTTGTGTAGTTGCAAGCCCCATTCCAGAGCCTGGCAGCTGCACTACAATTCCATCCAAGATCACCTAGCTCTCGGAGTGATGATTGTGTGCTCTGTATTCTTCACCTGTGGCACCAGGACTCCCAGTTCCTAACGTTCTTCACACCACGTCCAGTGGCAGCCAATATGCTTCTCCAGCCGTTGTGTAGCACTGCGGGCATGAGTCCAAAGTGAAGCAAAGTCTCTCCCATCTCTTCCAAAGTTGCCTTCCAGGGGTCCGCTCAGGCAGGTGGCAACATCTTGGTTGGAGGGGGTCCTAGTGATTCACTTCCTGATGACGTCACGCATAGCATTCGCTGCGATATTCCTCACCATGGCGTCCAGGATGTCGGAAGGCATGAGTGATCACCGCAACGTCACAGATATCACCCATTTGAGGGATGTTGGTGCTGCCGTGCCTGAGTGAGATGTACACCAGTTCATTGCTGGCCCTCTGGAGAAGAAATGTCCACTTCTTCACTGACTGCCTTATGGTGTTGTCTGCCCTGTTAAGATCTTCAAGCCTCCAGGGCTACAAGTTCTCACAACTCACTCCATTATTTTGTGGATGTGCCTCTATCTGGATGGATCTCATCTCTGACAGCTGTGGTTATGGGGTACAGAGTGATGCAGGACAGCATCCAAAGTAGAGTTACTGCCTTTGTCGAGCTGCTTTTCAGGAAGGGATACCGCAAATGAGGTTGTATGTTCTTTTTTCTTTTTAGCTTTTCCACTTTTCTTGTTTCTTCTTTTCATTCTTCTCCTTTGGTTTATTGGTTTTGTTATTTCTTCAGTGATTGGCTCTATCAGTGATAGACCTGAATCGGTCCACCTGGGGCTGATTCTGCTCTTAGGCACACCAATGTAAATCCAGAGTAACTCCACAAAGGTCCGTTTATACCAGTGTGATGGAGCAGAATCTGATCCAGTGAAAGATAAGACAACTCTAGGAACTAAACATTACTTAGTTGGTTTGACTTTTCCAAAAACTGAAATTCTGTTGCCAGAATGATTAGTTTAGTAGATGTCCCCATAGAGTTCTTGATGCTAAAGCCTATAGTCCTGATTGCGATTTACAGTAAGGTCACTTTGGACAGTGCAACGTGGGAGTAAGTTTGTATTTACTCCCGTTTTAAAACCTCTTAAAACTGGCAGAGCACAGTGGCCTTAGTGTAAATGAGTTTAAGGTTCTGGTTCTTCATCAGAGCCCTGTAGCTGGCTCCAGCCTGCTCCCTCCTTCAGCCAGACGGCCCCCCAACTATTCTCCAGATTTTCCTGTGAGAGTACGAATTTTCCAGTGGTGACCCATGTTCTATATTAGAATCTCAATTAATTCCTTTGTATTTCAAAGATAAGCAAGTTCCTTGCGGAGGCTCGAGATGAGGTGCGGATTAGCCAGCGCCTATAGCTGCTTTGGTCTCTTTGGGAATCTCTTGACTCACTTTTTGGCATGATCAAGTTCACCACAAGGCTCAGCAGCAGCCCTTCCCGGACAAAACTGAATAACTGTAATCATGGTGCAAAGGCCAATGAGGGTGCTGGGAAATATCAGAAGAGGGGTTAGTGGGTTTTTTTTTTTACACTAAGTGCCTGCCTTTATGACCACTGCCCACCATTCTTGTCAGTTGTCAAGGGACTGGAGCTGATGAGAATCTTGCTCAGAAAGTGGGATTCTCATTAATTTCAATTCCCTACTGGCTCAAAAGCAAAGGAGTGAGCTGGCAGGGAGGAAGGATTGTGCCACCAACATGTGTGCTCTCAGGTCACATCCCTCAGTGATGTCTATGGTTAATAGGTCACAGCATGATCGCCAGAATTCTCATTCAGACTGATCTATACCTCCTTCTGGAGGGACAAAGCTGCTTAAAAACAAGAGAGTCACTGTTTGGTGTAAGAGGGTGAGTTTTTTAAATCTTTCATCAGTACCCCATTCACATGTCAATCTTACTGTTCCCAGTGCTCCTCCCTGTAGGCAGTCATAGGAGAGCAGTCTGGGATCCATTGCTCTTGCTACTGGACGTACTGTTTCAGATTTTCTTTCCTTTACTGCTATACAAACATGCATCATTTTAATCAACTAGCCTTCACGAATCCATGGAAGAGGCTGATTGGCCACTGAGTTCTGTGTCTGCTCGGTGTGACTGAACCAAAGGGAAGGAATCTCCCTGAAGCGTGAAGAGGAGGGCAGCTCGGCTCACCTGAGTGCAGTTGAAAGGGAAGTTATCTCACAAGCCTTATCAACCCAAGAGAGCTGGGCCACTGCAGTTTGCCCCTGTGTGACTGCACTGGTGCAAGTAGTAATATCCCCCCGGGCACAAAAGAGTAGCAGGGCGGCACCCAGCACTCCTGCACCTGTGTTGTGGGGACCTAGCCCTCAGTTCTCTGTGGCCTGTTCTAGCCAGATACTGGTGTGGTCCTTGTCATCACAGTATCTGAGCTCCTCACAACCAGTCATTCCTGGAATGTATCCAGGAAGTCTGGAAGCATTATCACTGCTTTACACAGGAAAGGTTATCACCCCATTTACAGACTGGAGGTTTAGTGACTTGTTCTGATTACATGGGAAGCCTGTGAGTGAGCCAGGAATTGAACATGTCTCCTGTGCCCCAGTCTAGTGCACTACTCCCTAGATCACCCTTCCTCCCCAGGGCCCTGCCCAGCTGCTGGAAGGTCCAATGGATTGCTGCCCTAAGGATGAGGACCTTCTGAAGTCCACATGACCCATCTCCCTTCCTCTGCACCCAAGACTGTTCAGGACTGAAACTCCGTGCTGTGCTCCAGCTGAAGCCTGGCTCTCTGAAGGGAATGTGTCCTGGGGGGTGCAGGCGAGTGTGTGGGTGGAATTTCTTCTGACTCCACTCCCCTTTCCTGCGGACCTCCAGATATCCACAGCACAGGAGCCCTCCTCATGTGTACCTAGGAGGTACGCAGGGATAGTCTTCTCTTCCTGCTGATCTCTGCTCCCTTCCACATGCACCCATTACAACCTCTACTCCCACCTCAGGCCCTCCCTGCAGAGGTTCCCATTGCAGGGCCTTGCGCACTGGTGCACGTCGGTCCACCCTATTCTCTGCCTATGGCACACAACAGTCTAGTCTCCTGTGGGCTGTGATACTTTGGCCTCATTTCATTTGTTGGATCTAGGGTGCAGGTGCTGGCTGGTGTTGGTGGCCTGTGACAGTACAGGAGGTCAGACAAGGTGATCTGGTATCCTTCTGGCCTTAAACTCTGAGATCTATGCTCCTTCAGAGCTGAGGTACTTGGGAAGCAGCAGTGAAGGTGTGGGGGCTCCAAAGGGACGTGTGGTGGGGTACAGAAGAGGAAGGGGCCTTCTGTACCCTGAGACACACAATATGTGATCAAGTGATTTGCTACTGTCACACCCTGGTGCTAAAGATGTAACATGTGAGAGGAAGACGTGCCTTTCTGCCAAACGTCACATTGATATGCTACTTACTCACTGGCGGAGGAGTTGTTGTTCTCTGGGTCCTGTGTGCTTCTTGTTAAGGAGGCCTAGAAAAGAATAAACGGAGCAGTGTTGTCATATATGAAATAAAACATTTGCAAATATATAGCTACCTTTGCATGTGAAGAGCCACATTGGCCCTGCCTTAGCACTCTATGCAACCTCAATGAAGGCAATCAAGGTGCCAGAAACAGACCTGTTGTTTTTTAGTTACAAAAGCCTCACTAGGTCACCTTCAGCATCTAAGGAGCCTGGGTGTCTTTGACCTGCAAATCTGAAATCATTAAACATTAACTAATTAAGCCTCCTAATTTCCCTGTGAGACAGGTGAACATTATAATTCCCAGTGCAAAGATGGGTAAATTGAGGCCTAGAGCAGTGATGTGATTAAAGAGAAGTTAAAAGAAAGCTGCCCTGATTCTTCTCAGCTGACTAGTCTGAACATGTCCCTGAGGAGAAGCACGTCCCGCCACGTACAAACCAGGAATCGCTCCTACAACTGGCACTTGTAGTGAGAGTTGGTATCGCTGTGCCCCTTGCTGGCACCAACTGTCTTGCTGAGAGCTGACTTTATCTGTGACCCAGGCCCAACATTCATTTTCTGTCAAAGGATGAAACTTGTCTTACACAAATGTTCACGAAAAGCAATTTAAAAGGACAGTGGATGCAAGTGAGGGGAAATCCTAGTTACAAATATTTTTTCTCCTTGTTTTCCAGCTCTGGTTAATATACGCTTTGAGGATGTTACTGCAAAGAGCAAGTGGAGAGCAGGGTGGAACCAAGCAATGCAGGAGTCATATAGAACACCCTCTGTAAAGCCGCCCCCAGCGCTGTAACTCACTCCCTGTCCACACTGGCAAGGCATTTGCAGCGCTGTATCTCCGTGGTTGCAGCGCTGCATGTACGCCACGTCTCCGAGAGGAATAGCAAGTATTGTGCTGCTGCTGCAGCGCTGCGGCGCCAGTGTAGCCACCCAATGCACTGTGAATGGCCTCCAGCATTATTCGGCAGTATCCCAGAATGCCTGTTCTAGCCACTCTGGTCATCAGTTCAAACTCTACTGCCCTGGCCTCAGGTAACCAACCATGTGACCCACCCTTTACATTCCCCGGGAATTTTAAAAATCCCCTTCCTGTTTACTCAGTCCAGCGTGGCGTGCTATCAGCAAATCTTTCCAAGTGACCAGGCCTTCACGCGCCAAGCGAGCCGCAGCATGGAGCAATGGCGAGTTGCTGGACCTCATCAGTGTTTGTGGGGAGGAAGCTGTACAGTCCCAGCTGCGCTCCAGCCGTAGGAATTACGATACCTTTGGGAAGGTATCAAAGGACATGATGGAAAGGGGCCATGACCGGGATGCCCTGCAGTGCAGGATTAAAGTGAAGGAGCTGTGGAGTGCCTACCGCAAAGCCCGCGACGCAAATGGCTGCTCGGGTGCTCCCCCTGCAACCTGCCGATTCTACTAAGAGCTGGATGCGATACTTGGGGTTAACTCCACCTCCACTCCGAGCACCACCATGGACACTTCAGAGGCGGTGGGGAGGGAGAGGGAGGAAGAGGAGGAGGAGGAGGAGGAAAACGGGAGTAATGGTCGTGGGCCGGATGGAGACACCCCGGAATCCCTGGAGCCATGAAGCCAGGAGCTCTTCTCGAGTCAGGAGGAAGGTAGCCAGTCGCAGTGGCCGGTACTTGGTGGAGGACAAACAGAAGAGCAGGTTCCCGGTAAGCGTTTGTTTTTTTTCGGGAAGGAATTTTTTCGGTGCAGGCTCTTTGGGAGAAGAGAGTTAGGCATGCATGCCTAGATGCGGAATAGTGCACTGATGTGGTTTATCACATCGCGGTAATCGGCCTCGGTAATCTCGAATGTCTCATCAAGAACGTGTGCAATGCGCTTGTGCAGGTTTATCGGGAGAGCCACTGTGGTCCTTGTCCCAGCCAGGTTAACGTGTCCGCACCACTGTGCCGTGAGGGGTGGGGGGACCATTGCTGCACACAGGCAAGCTGCATATGGGCCAGGGCGGAAGCCGCATTGCAGTAGAAGACCCTCCCTTGCTTCCCAGGTCACCCTCGGCAGCGAGATATCGTCCAGGACGAAC